TTTTGGATGCATTTCATTTGAGCTATCTAGGCAATATTTTCTTTTTTTTTTTTTTTTGTGAGGAAGATCAGCCCTGAGCTAACATCCATGCTAATCCTCCTCTTTTTGCTGAGGAAGACCGGCTCCGAGCTAACATCTATAGGCAATATTTTTTAAAAAAGAGAGAAAAGATGTCTGGTAGGCAGTTATAAATACAAATCCGATTCAGAATAATGTTTTAAGCTGAAGATATGGCTTACAGATAATACTTGAAAATATACAAGTAAGATTGACTGAAAAGAGTCTGTGGAGACCTTAGAATGCACTAATATGAATATTATATATTAAAAAAGAGAATGATAGTTCTTATCCAGTCTGGGATGATCAGGCCATACAAGAAACAGTCCATTCAATCTAAGCCTCATCCCTTTGAAAGGAGCCACATTATCATATTGTAGGAGAGGACTGAGTGGTGAAGGAACAGAAAAACATGTCAGAAGAAATAAACACCCAGAAAAATACAAGTTACCTTCAAATATGGGAAGAGTTGTCCTGGGGAGAAGCATTAGTTTTTTCTTATATGTCTCTAACAAGGACTAATGAGCAAAAACTTTAAGAAGACAGATTTCAATTGTATATAAGAAACATTTCCCAAACTGCTGTCCAAAGATTACATTGCTGTCCCCCTGGTGTAAGCTGCCACCAAATCTTTTCTATCACAGTGGCCTTCCTCCTTCCACTCTCACCCTACCACAGCCACCACTGCAAATACCAACCAAAGGGATCTTGTGAAATGTAAACCATTAATGTGTCATGCCTGTCCCCAAAACTTTCAATGGCTTCTCATAACACTCAGAACAAAACCCAAAGTCCTTCCTATGACCTCCAGACCCTCAGATTTAGCTCCTGTGCATTTCTCTAGCCTCCTAACCTCCTCCACCTCTCTCAGTTTGCTGTGGCCACGCTGAACTTTGTGTCATTCCACAAACACTCTGAGATCACACTGACCTCTTGCACTTACTCTTGTGTTTGCCTGGAACAACTACTCACTTCCTCATTTCATTCAGGTCTCTTTTAAACGCCACTTCCTCAGAGTCTTTCCCTAACCATCCTTTAAAAATTAGTTCCAACCCACCCCCTCTAGCTCCTCACCCTGCATTATTGTCTTCAGAGCACTCGTCTTTACCTGATGTTATTATCTGTCTTCCGAAACAAATGGAAGGCAGAGATTTTGTCTCTGGTTTACAGCTGCATCCTAGTGCCCAGAACCTTGTCTGGAACATACAGCCATCAATATTTGTTAAATGAATGCCCAACGCAGAGGCTGCCCTCACATCAGAGAGTGTCAGGCATAGGCTGGGCATTCACTTGGTAGGAACGTTGTGAAGAGTTTTAAGCATCAAGGAGTTTGGACAAGATGACATTTAGGTCCCTTCCTAACTGAAGTACAATGATTCCATATTGCTTTATGAAGATTTTTGGAAATAAATATACATTTGGGAATAAATATATGTTTCTCTAGCTACCTTCCAGAGGCTTCTAACCTGTGCCCCTTAAGAAGGTGTAGGAAAGAATAAATCAGAAAGTTTTCCCAGTCTTTCGTCTTGTCAACTAATTTGTGCTCTATACTTGATTTCCTACAGGTAAGTAACTTCCACCTTACTCCGCTCTATAGTTCTGATAAAGGCTGCAGAGTGAATAATGAACTTGAAGTTATTTAAGAAAGATCATTATTTCTGTGGAAATTGGGGAAGTGGCCTGGGAACATAATAAAATAATTGGTGGTTAAAAGCAGCGAGAATGCCTGGTTTTGCCACTGTTTGACAAGTTACTTAATCTTTCCTGCCTCTATTTCTTCATTTGTTAAATTAAGATTAAGTGATTAGTAAATATAAACACATTACATAATATGTAAAGCACATGGAATGATACCTGGCACACAGTAAGTACTATATAAGTATTAGCTATTAATTGATTTTTGACATTTTAAACAAAATACCATAATGAAATATTCAGTTATAATTGACGAAAATTCAAATTAACAAATTACCTGACACCTTATTTACAACAAATTGTTTGATGGATAATGACTGATCTAGTTTTTGTAAAGTTTTAGATATAATTTTTTATAGCTTATGAAATATTTTTAATTTGCTCTTCATGATACTTCTTCCAGATAGATAAGGCAGATGAGGAAAGGGTCTCAAGAGCTTAAGTGATTTGTTCCAATTTACATGGCTAGTCACAGGTTGAGCCCGGCTTATTATTCTAATGCATGTTCCACAGCATTAACATACAAAAGGCACAGGCAGCCTCTGAAGAAGCAACAGAAGATTGCCAAAAATAAGATAGCTACTACTTAACTTTCTCTCCAGTTCCCAGTGGAGCTTCTTGTTGATCTAAGTCTCTCTTAAAGTTAAGCCGTTCTCACACGATCCCCAATCTTTGTTTCAATCTTGAGCCTTAAATAGGTATGGTTGGTTGGCACGAAGTGGAGATTAATGGCTGCTAAGCAAGCTTATTTCTTCCACTATTCACTGATGGAGGATGCAGAAACCTATTCAAGTCATACAGGCATCGTAATGGGACAGTAGATAACTGGATGCCTGAGTTGTCAAGAGAGAGGATGCCAGTGTTCATTAACTCTTAACTCTTCATGTCTGAGTCTGGGGAAGAAGGTTGTTTCAGGGGCCAGCCCAGTGGTGTAGTTAAGTTTGTGTGCTCCGCTTCGGCAGCCTGGGGTTTGTGGGTTTGGATCCCAGTCGCGGACCTATGTACCGCTTATCAAGCCATGCTGTGGTGGTGACCCACATATAAAGTAGAGGAAGATGGGCACGGACGTTAGCCCAGGGCCAATCATCCTCGGCAAAAAAGAGGAGGATTGGCAACAGATGTTAGCTCAGGGCTGATCTTCCTCACCAAAAAAAAAAAGGAAGTTGTTTCACAGGAAACTACCTAAGGTTGTATTGTTGTATTTTCAAAATCAAAAGAAGAGATAATAGGGCCGGCCCAGTGGCGTAGTGGGTTAAGTGCGCATGCTCCGCTGCAGCGGCCCGGGGTTCGGATCCAAGGCGCACACCAATGCACTGCTTGTCAAGCCATGCTGTGGCAGTGTCCCATATAAAGTGGAGGAAGATGGGTACTGATGTTAGCCCAGGGCCAGCCCTCCTCAGCAAAAAGAGGAGGATTGGTGACAGATGTTAGCTCAGGGCTAATCTTCCTCTCACACACACAAAAAAAAATTTAAAAAAAAAAAGAAGAGATAATAGTGGTAAGAAAACAATCAATTGGCCTCATAAATAGTTTGTGCCCCTCAAATCAAATGTGTGTCTGCGTGTGTTCCTCTATTACTGATCATTTCAGAAATCTTAATTTTTCTACATGCTTCACTATTCCTATTACTGGTTTCTGTATTTGCTTTTCTGTAAATTTATGCAAACTCTAGAAAAGCTCTACCAATTGTCCTAGCACTTCTTATACCCTCCAGTAAGGCATTACATGAGTATTCCCATCTATGACTATCATATGAAGTGTGCCTTGCTAGGAGAGGCACAATAATAAAAATTAATTACAGCTAACAAAAGGCAGAGGTGAAAATGATTATTTAGATTTTAATAAAATCTGAAAACACAGGCCTTTTACCTCAAAAGAATGCATATACTTATAAAGCTTGTTTGGTAAAATTCATCAACACATAACCATATGAATTTTATTGTTATGTGCACCTGGTAAAACCATTCCTATTCTAAAGACAAATGTATTGCCCTTTGAGTCACATTATACCCTTGATAATGTCTTTAAGATGTTCATTCCACACTGTCCTTTGGATAGGAAATAAGAATTTTAAATATTGTTTTAGAAAAACAGTAAACAGTTATGAGGCATGAAAATAAAAATATGTATATTTGACAACAGTAAAAATTTTCTGTACCATCTGCAATCCCTTTAAAAGCCAGATGTATACCTGGATTTACATAGTTCTCCCCACTGAAAAAAAAATTAGTCAAAAAAGCCTCTATACATTCTGACTTCAGCTCTGAGAAGCCTAAAATGGCAAAGGGACAAGTACTAAGAAAGCACCATGAATCAAAAATAACTTCCCCAGGGCCAGACCCAGTGGCCTAGTGGTTAAGTTCCGTGCGCCCAGCTTTGGCAGCCCAGGTCCCTCGGCACGGACCTACACCACTCGTCTGTCAGTGGCCATGCTGTGACAGTGGCTCACATACAAAAAGAGGAATATTGGTAGCGGACGTTAGCTCAGGGAGACTCTTGCTCACCAAAAGAAAATAATAATAACCTCCCCCAATAAATAAATAGATATTTTAAATTTCCCTTTTTAAATACCACCACCATCCTCGCCACTATTCAAAGAGGACTCACTATGAATTACAGTAATGTTATTTAAATCATATCTTTTAAGAACAGATATTTTTTAAAGTGGCAGGGTGAGTAAAGAAGAGAGAACTTGAGAACAAGAGGATAAGACCTAGGGGGATGCTCTTGGAGAGGCAGTTTGGACAGCTACAGAGGAGCATGGGAGGACATCCAAGACAAACTTCATCCACCTTATAACTTTGTAATTTTTTATAAGATGCTGAACTAAAACTGCACTCCCCATTCTCCCTTCCCCGCAACTCATCCTGGGGCTGCCATTGGCTAATCTGATGTTTGACATAGGCCATAAATAGAAGGCATGATGCCACATAAGTTGAGACATTTGCCTCACTATATAATGTGTGTACATAGGAATCTACGCAATAGGAATGAATCAATATTTATCTTCGATGTTAAGAATGCTTTAACAGGCTATGACACTTAGATAGCTCTCAATCCAATTTTCAAATACCTCCAAGAAGAAACAGCAAGTTAAGAATTTACTGTGTACTTTCTACCCCTCCAGGCCCCACCTCCACCCCTACTCTCCAACCCTGCCATTTTTTAACATTAGGAGTCAAAGCTCTCAAATAACAGAATACACTTCAAGATTTTATAAAATTTCTAAACATCACATTCTCCTCAGACACACAGATGTAAACATAGATCAGTAATCATATGTTAAATTATTAACAAATTCTATTTATTCTTTAAGTAACAGTACTAAAACAAGAAAGAGTATTATAGTGGCAGGCTTAAATTTCTTTTGATGCTTTAGCTATCTGTCCCACAACATCTTATATTTTTTCAAATAATTAGCACTTGATGATGAGTTACTGAGAGTCAGGATCTAGAAAGCTATTTGTCTTCCAGATGCTAATAGGACTGTACTGAAGCAGTCTTGTAGTTCTTCATATTTAGTGCCCTAAAATTGGAAAAAAATGCACATTTAATTTTATAGGTACAGGTTATATATCTGTACGTTCTTGTAAAAATGTTTTACAATAAAAAATTAACAATCCAAAACCAGATTTTCTCAGCAAATTCAAAAGCTTCACTTCAGATAAGTCAGATATATTTTTAAAATGTAATTTAAGAGGGAAAAATTGGTTGATAGGACCAATTTTAAATACTACCATCCAGAGAAGTTCATTAGTTTTAAAATTAGGCTAAAGGAAATGAAAACTTGATTTAGGATAATATTTGTGATAATGTAAAAAGAAAGAGATTTCAATAAACTCAAAGTTACTAAACAGAAGATAAACTTCTGATTTTTCAAAAGAGCAATCAGTTACTCTTTTCTTTTCTCTGCTCCAAACACATATGCTGGGCATCACAGAACTTTCTCAGCTCTGTTCTCTGGAGAGAAAAGAACACACAGAAAACCTGAAACCACCCCACAAGAAAAAAATTCCATCTATTCGAGGTTGAGTGTGGTGAGGAAAATTCTGATTTTACTGTCTGTTCTGTTATACGTATAGATACTGTTGGGCAGAGTACTGATAGGTGGCTTGCCAAAGGACAAAAGGTCAAAGGACATGGAAAAAAGGCTCCATAGCTTCCTGTTTCCAGTCCAATACTCTACCAACTAGCCCACACAGAATATTACTCCTGCAAACAACAGTTAAATTACATAAATAACGAAGGGCAATCTTACTTTTGTGATATAACAATAATGTTGGTATTATAACCACTGCCCACAAGTGATAAAGATGTACCACTGTTTTTATAAAAGAAAAGAATGTGAATTTGGTGTCCTTTACCTAATACACTGTATGATTACAGTGTTGGGCATTAAAACGTTTTCAATGAATTCAAGACAGAAAGGTAATCAAATGAATTCTACTTATTTATGGTTTTGCACACACACACACACAAAGAATGATGGATTGTCCTTTTCTAATTTATATTCTGAACTCTTAAGAACTTCTTTTCAATTTAGAGAGTGCTCAAAAACTGGGTAAAATTGAAGTTTTAAGATACCTTAATAATATACTTTTTCTCAAAGTATTATAAAGTGATGTTAATAGTATTTTTAAGTAACCAAAATATTTCCTGTTTTCAAAGAAGATTATTTCAAAGTTAAGGACAGAAATCTTAAGTGTCATTAGGATCCCTCACAATTACTGAGAGCCTGGAACCCACATAGAGATAATAATTCAACAAGGGTCAAAAACTCCCTTTGAGAAACAGACAATGTTAACATGTACTGCGAATTGAACTAGAAATATCTAAACAGTCTCAAACAACTCATAATAAGGTGCTTTAGATTTGCCTAAAAAATTGTGGACAGAATAGTTTGGCACAGATAAATTAAGCTTTTTCAATTGGGAATTTCAGAAGATGAGAAAGAACTTCTATAATGGAGAGTGGTCTACGGAAGGAGCTGAGATTTCTAAAGTCACCCAAATTTGTCATTTTTAAATGTTAAAATAGAAGATATTATTCTGAAGAAATCTAAAAGTTGAAAACAATTTTTCACGGTACATGGGCTAAATGTAACATATTACTACCTTTTGACATTCAAAGTCATTATACTTTCAATTGGTCTGCTTTTTGGTCCACCTGGTGGATGGAAAATCTTAACATCTTTCCTGGAAATCTGCTTTGCCAACTTAACCACATAAGGGTCAGCAGAATGTGAAGGGTAAGGGTCAAATGTTCCTGCCTTCATTCCACCAGCCTACAAATAAAAATGAGACAATTTAATGTGGTTTTATAAAATGCTTCCAACAAAATTAGATTTTGAAGAAGTTCATACATATCGGTGTATTGTCTATGGAGTTGGTTTTACATTTAAAGAAAGTTGTCTATACTGTTTAATTCAAATACCAGCAAAGAGTATCCCTACCACCAATTTTACGGGGTTAACACACTGTAATTCCAAAACTTCTCTAAGAAAATGCAAATGTTTATAGGAAGGTAATATTGTAAATGACTGCCAAGCATTAATATTTTAGCAAGAGTTTATCAGACCAGGCTATCATCTAGTTAGAGGGTGAGCCCATTACTGAGGGAATGAAACCTAGGTCAGACATATTTTGATAGAGAAAGGAGTTAGGGCTCAGAACCAGAGGACGGGAGAAGGGGCCAAGGGTCAAGTTTGTCCAACAGAGAGCCTAGCATAACATGAGTTTACTAAACACCTCAGTGATGGAGAAGATGCTAAAAACCAAAAAAAAAAAGGAATAGCACATAAAAATAGAAGGTGAGAGGAAAATGTGATCTACTTTTACTTTATATTTTTCTTGTAGTCTATTAAAAGAAGTCAATCAAAATATTTTTTGACCTATACACAAAACGGACAAATATTTGCTTTGTCTTTTAAACTGATTTACCATGATTTTAATCTTTATATTATATATAGTCGCCAAGAAAACTACAGAATCATAACAACCCATTTAATTAGGCATCCTTTCACTTACAGTATCTAAGCCAAATATACATGAAAATTTAATTCATTTGAAAGATATGGTTGTCATTTTTCAGGTTTTCCAGACTGAAGACACATGAATTATTTTGAAGAGCAACAAATAATAAAGAAACTTAAGCAAAGTAAAATAAATTCATTGATAAATGTAAAGGCAAAATGGATGAATTAGAAAAATATAGATGGTAAATAAACCAACCCATCAGATTATGCCTTAAAAAATAAATAGATAAATCTATATTATAATTAAGAATGAGAAAGGAGTGGAGGAAACCTATACATATATGGAATATTAAAAAATATAAAATAATATTTTTGCAAACAACCATGTCAATAAATTTGAAAATGTGAATGAAATGAATGATTTTCAAAGAAAATATGTGTCAAAATTGACTTCAAGAGAGATAGGAAGGGCCGGCCCCGTGGCTTAGTGGTTAAGTGCGTGCGCTCCGCTGCTGGCGGCCCGGGTTCAGGTCCCAGACGCGCACCAACACACTGATTCTCCAGCCATGCTGAGGCCGCGTCCCACATACAGCAACTAGAAGGATGTGCAACTATGACATACAACTATCTACTGGGGGCCTTGGGGAACAAAAAAAAAGAGGAGGAGGATTGGCAATGGATGTTAGCTCAGGGCTGATCTTCCTCACAAAAAAAAAAAAAAGAGAGAGAGAGAGAGAGATAGGAAGCCTTAGATAATGGATAGGCATCATGCAAGAAATTAAGCCCAGAACACTTTCTATGAGAATTCTTTCAAGCCTTCAAGAAACAAATATTTCTAGTGCTATTTAAACTGTTTTACGTTACAGAACATAAGAAAAGGAGGAAATCTCCCTGATTATTTTAAGATGATAGCATCTATTTATACTAAAATAGAACAAAGCATACCAAAAAAAAAGTACAGACCAGTCATGCTTAAAATTATTGTAATGCAAAAATACTTAATAAAACATTAACACATAAAATACAGTATTACACTTAAAAATTAATACAACATGGCCAAGATGGATTCATTCTAAGAAATCTATTATTGTTATTCACCTTATGACAAGTCAAAGGGAGGAAAAAAAGATGGTCTAAATATATTACATCAAAACATTCAACATAATTTTACATACATTCCTGATTTATTCCTATTTTTGGCATCTATAAAAATGAAACGCTAGAGGTGTCCTCATTAAATTCAAGATTAAGGCAAGATGGCCACTACTGCTAGCCCGAGCAATTGGACATGAGCATGACATAAGAGAGATAAATATTGGAAAGGAGGGAGCAAAATTATTTGCAGATAATCATACATCTGAAAATCCAAACAGAATCAACAGAATACCCATTAGAACATAAAAAAGCTTAATGAAATGGCCAGATATTTTAAAAAATCAAATGTTTTTATAAAGACAAATAATATGAGGAGAAACATTATGGGGAAAAAACTATTGACCAGAGCTTTAAAATAAGTAGGAATAAATATAAGACATATAAACCTATGTGAAGTAAAATATAAAATTCTACAAGGGAAATAAAAATTTTTATAAGTAGTTTATTTCTAGATCAGATCAGAAGATTCAAATTATAAATATGCTAATACATCCAAAAATCTAACGATTTAACTTTATAGCAAAACACCAAAGGTCTTTTTCTCCCAAGAACTTTACAAAATAATTCCAAAGTTCCAGAGAATAAATACGGGAGAACAGCCAATACAACTTTTTGAAAAAGTAACAAGAAGAGACTAGACCACCCAATATTAAAATGCAATAGTAATTAAAAGTAGTTTGGTACTGACAGAAATAAACATCAGTCAAATAGAATGGAAATTCAGGAGGGAAAAAAACCCTCAAAAACGGGAATTTTTATTTGATAAAGGTAGCATTTCAAAGCAAGTGGTGTTAAAAATTACTCTGTCAGAGAAAACTGTAGTGTGGTTACCAGGGGTAATGGGGGTAGGGGGTGGGCACAAGGGGTAAAGGGAGACATGTATATGGTGATGGACAAACAAAAATGTACAACAAAAAATTTCACAATGTTATAAACTATTAAAACATCAATAAAAAAATTACTCAGTGAGGTTAGGAACAATTGGCTTTTTAAAAAATCAGTTTTAACGAAGTCTAATTCACATACAATAAACTGCACCTATTTAAAGTTTACAATTCGGGGCCGGCCCGGTGGCATAGTGGTTAAGTGCGCAAGCTCTGCTTCGGCAGCCCAGGGTTCGTAGGTTCGGATCCCGGGCGTGGACAGACACACCGCTTGTCAAGCCATGCTGTGGTGGTGTCCCATATAAAGTGGAGGAAGATGGGCACGGATATTAGCCCAGGGCCAGCCTTCCTCAGCAAAAAGAGGAGGATTGGCAACAGATGTTAACTCAGGGCTAATCTTCCTCACCAAAAAAATAATTAAATAAAGTTTATAATTTTATGATTTCTGACAGGTATATACACCCTTGAAACTACGACCACAATGAAGACACAGAACACATCCTCCCTCAAAGTTTCCTCCTGCCCTAAAAAGTGGATTTCAAAAAAGATAAAAGCTGGAGGCCAGCCCAGTGGTGTAGTGGTTAAGTTCGTGCACTCTGCTTCGGCAGCCTGGGGTTCATGGGTTCGGATCCCAGGTGCAGACCTAACACCACTCATCAAGCCATGCTGTGGCAGCATCCCACATACAAAATAGAGGAAGACTGGCACAGATGTTAGCTCAGGGCCAATCTTCCTCACCAAAAAAAAAAAGAGAGAAAGAGATAAAAGCTGGACCCTTACCTCACTCTTCATATCAAAATATATTTCAGATGAAGATATAAATGCAAAAGGATAAGATTAATAGAAGAAATCAAGAGTGTATATTTTTCTAATATTGGTGGTAAGAAAAGTCATTCTGAGAATAACATGAAACTCAGGGAAAAGGATTGATAAATTTGACTACATCAAATTATTAAACTTCTAAATAGCACCAAATACTATAACCAAAGTCAAAGATTCAACAGATTAGAAAAATTATTTTCAACAGAAATGACAAAAGAACAATATCCTTAATGTACAAAAAGATCTTAAAAATCGATATGAGAAAGATAAATATCCTAATAGAAAATCCACAGAGAAAATGAACAGGCAATTTACAGAAGAAAAAATAAAGTATAAACTAAGGTTTACAAACTATAAGAAACATTTTAATTTTTATTCACACTTGTTGTAAACTTCAGCAGAGGCAGATAGTTCATTTTAACCACCATTTCAAAAACTAAAAGATGGTCTGGCTTTTCATGGTTTTGAGAAAAACTATACCTAAGATCTAGAGAGGCACTTAGAAAACACATTTGAAGTGATTAATAATTACTTCATTACAAGAGCTTCATTATTCCCTACCCTAGCCATGCTTTGTGACTTTACATAATTTTGTAAAAACGGGTTTCATGATTCTTGGCATGAATACAAAGAGAAGTTTATTATTTCCATAGGTAGTAAAATGATTTGACAGCAAGAGGCAATATTTCTTGATAATGATTAATATTTTTTCTTTCTAAAATTTTTAACTTACCTTTTTACCAGGAGAGGAGGGCTTAAAAGGGCTTGGAAGTAATTCTTTCCTCTCTGCTTTTTTAATTGGTGGTAAAGGTTTCTCAAAAAAATAAGGATTAGAATCAAAATACTCCCTTGGGTAAAGATTTAACTTGAAAGGTGTCCCTTTAAGTAAATGATGGTGCTGTTCATTCTCTTTCTGTAAATTTAAGAGTTTGAAATTATATAGCATAAATTACTCAAATTGGAAGTAACATAGAGTCAAATCTTCTTTTAAATTTTAATATAAGCATGTAGATTTTTTTAATATATACCGCCAGGTTCACTTTTTTTAAACATCCTTTTGTTATGTTCTGTTCTTATGATACAAAAGATACACTTGTTTATGAACAAGCACAACTACGATTGGCCATTTTGGATATAAATTTATTTGAAGTAAAGAGATCTATTATCACCTGAACACATCTATATTAACTATCTGGGTGATATGATGTATTAAAAAAAAAGATTGGTCTCTAGTTCAAACCCTAACTCCTTCCTGCTTTTTAGTATTTCTTAGGGACTCTGGGAAATTTACTTACCCTTTTAGTGTCAACTTTTCTTCAACTATAAATGAGGATAATTTACCCCTTACGCTGTTGTAAAGAGTAAACGAGATTATGTGTATAAAGTACCTAGCATATGGTAGGCTCTCAATAAATGTCAGTTTTTACTTCTAAGAATAAGGAATACTTACTTTTTAAATAATATATCAGTCTTATATTACAACTTTATTAGCTACCTAGTATTTAAGCAAAACAGAAGTCATTTTTTCCTTCCCATATTGCAATCTTCTCTACAGGACAATACTAAGTATAAAAATTGCTGTTAATAAAGTAGAAAAAAATTTCAAGTTATGAATTATAGATTCAAAAAGACATCTATAAAGTGAATATCGATACATTTTTTCACTTTTTTAAAATATGAAATCTGGTATTTCATCATTCAACAAACAACTGAAAACATTTGGTAAATGAAATTTAAATAGATGGTCAATCCAGGGAAGACGAATTTTCATTACTAAGAACCCAGCTGTAACACTTCCACAAATTTTCACTCTTTTTAGATTTTTGTCTTGCTTTTGCCTCTCCTCTTCCTTTCTCCAGTCTATAGGAATTTCAGCCCTTCTTGGTGATCTCCTCTCTCCTCTTCATGCCACTGGTACTGATGGTACTGATAATTTAACCATTCCTTTGCCCTTTTGGGCAGTGTTTCTCAAATTTTCATAGGAATCACTTGGTAATTTATTTAATTTACAAATTGCCAAGCTCTTCCCTCAGAGATTTCTGATCCTACTGGTCCGCTGTATGGCCCATTAATCTGTAGTTTTAACAGTCACCCCAGGTGATTCTGATGCAGGTTTTCAGAAGGCAGTGCTTGACAGATCACCTTTTCCTAGAGTATGGTCCCCTTCAATAGAATATTGTATTTGTTTTGCCAACCCCTGCCCTAGAGTATTCAGTTGAGCACTGATCAGCACATATATGTGAGGGAAGCACTCAAAGCCAAGAAAAGAACCACCCAAAAAGATTAGAGGTAACAGTGTCTAGCTCTCGCACAGAGCTGGGAAGAGTGCTCATTCCATTAGCTGTGCTAGAAAACCTGATTCCCAGGGAGAGCACACAGAAAGGTCTCGCCTCATCAGTGGGGAGTAATTAGCCCTGAATTGAGCATTGCTCCTGTCCCACCCAACAAATCTCGAAAAGCAAGACCTGAAAAAAATCAAATTGTTTCCAAGTAATTTAACTGCATCCCAGAATAAAGCCCAAGAATATTTATAAGAACACAAAAATATACAGTGCTCAATGAGATAAAATTCACAATGCCTGACATCCAACCAAAGATTACCAGTAATGGGGGCTGGCCCGGTGGTGTAGCAGTTAAGTTCACACCCTCTGCTTCGGCGGCCCAGGTTTCACAGGTTCGGATCCTGGGCATGGACCTACACAGCACTTACTGAGCGATGCTGTGGTGGCATCCCAGATAAAGTGGAGGAAGATGGGCACGGATGTTAGCCCAGGGCCAATCTTCCTCAGCAAAAAGAGGAGGATTGGCAACAGATGTTAGCTTAGGGCTAATCTTCCTCAAAAGAAAAAATTACCAGTAATGCAAGGAAATAGGAAAATAGGACCCATACTGAGAAGAAAAATCAATCATTCAAAATTAATTGTTAGAATTAGCAGAGAAGGACATTAAAATAGTAATTAAACTGTATTCCATATGCTCATAAAATTAAGTAGAGACACGTAAGATATAAAAAAAAACACTCAAATTGAACTTCTGGAGAGCAAAACCACAATGTGTGAAATTTAAAATACACAGGATGCCATTAACAGCATATTGGACATTGCAGAAAAACAGATTAGTGACCTTGAAGACATAGCAAGAGAAACTATTCAAAATGAAACACAGAGAAGGAAAAAAGATAATTAAAAAAACAGAAGCGAACAGAGCCTTGGTAAATTGTGAGACAATTTCAAGAGATCTAATGCACCTGTAATTGGAGTCCCTAAGGAGAGGAGAAAAGGGGAGGAACAGAAAATATACCTGAAGAAATAAAAGCTGAAAATATTCCAAATTTGATGAAAACTATTAAACCCACAGATCCAAGAAGTTCGATAAACCTCAAGCATAAGAAGCATGATGAAAACAACCCCAAGACACATCATAATCAAATTGCTCAGACGAGTGATCAAGGAAATCTTAAAAGTAGCCAGAGAAAAAAGACACGGTACATACAGAAGAACAAAAATAACCATGAAAGCAGATTTCTCGTCAGAAACAATTCAGGCAAGAATACAGTGGAGTGATCTCTTTAAAGTTCCAAAAGAAAAAGCAAGGATACATTTTATTAAATTATTTTCAGAATTAATTTTAGGAAATCCAGAGACATAAAATTTCTGACTTATGAATAATAAGTTCTGAAAATAAGAACAGAAGAGCTTTGCTGTAAGGAGAGAAAAGTATCTTACAATGTTTAGGATGAAAGACTAATTACCGAGCCATTGATAAAATTGCCTTGTATGTGTTTATATATTATTATTATTCCTACAGATGAAAAGTAATTTATATACAATTTTATATAAACTGAACAGTCCATACATAGAAACAGAGATGATTATTTTCAAATGACCAAGGTTTCTACCCTATTTAATAGGAAACTTTTCCTGGGTTTGGAAATGCCCATTTGCAAAACTGGCCACTGTCCTTCTATCTCATGGCCCCACAGCCACTTAAAATCACCATGGCAAAATTACTGAAGACTGCACGCCTAAAAAAACAGAAACAAAAAACTAAAACAAAATGGTTACCATTTAATTTCTGTTGCTTAAAGTCCAAACGAACTCGACTTTTCATTACTACCAGCTTTCTTTAATTTATGATGATATTATTAAATTATGTTGATATTGTTCCAAAATCTGTAAGGTTTCCTCTATTCATCACATGTAGGCATTGCCCACAAAGTGAAGAGGTTTCACTATAAGTCAAATACTGTATAAAGTGAGTGTCAGAGGCATATGCCAGTACATTTCAGTTTTTATTTCTGCTGTTTAATAAAGTGCATAATTTTCTCCCATCCTTTTACTCTCTCTCCTGTATGAATTCATCCATTTTCTACCCTCCACTTTCTCCCTTCTCCCCATCACTCCTCCATTCCATTCGCTCACCATAATGGCTTCTTGATCAGCCCAAAAGTACCATATCACTACCACTTTCTTAGGCATAAAATACTAGAGTGTGGTGGGAATATGGCTAAGAGTCAGGAAAAGACTCTTCTACTTAAAACAGACAGAGCTGAGGGGCTGGTCTCATGGCCTACTGGTTAAATTCGGCACACTCCACTTCAGTAGCCTGGATTCGGTTCCCCAGGCACAGACTTATATCACTCATTGGAGGCCATGCTGTGGCAGAGACCCACATACAAAATAGAGGAAGATTGGCACAGATGTTAGCTCAGGGCAAATCTTCCTCAGCTTAAAAAAAAAAAAAAAAGACAAGAGTTGCTTAGGCCAAGTTAACAGAAGTCTCACAGCTAGTTTGGAGAGATGTAAGATAGATGTAGTAAACTAGAGCAGGAGATATAAGTTGATCATGGGAAGAGCTGAGAGGATCTACAGCCTGATGTGGAAATCTAATATTAAAAAGGTAAAATTATCACAATTCATAAACATCAGCCTGTCATTGCCCCAGTAACATAAATAGATAAAACAAAACAAAACATAATCAGATCACAAGTGAATTCTCTAAGTCAACTAAACAAGAGAGAGGTGGAAAAATGTTAAAATAGATTACCTTATAATTTAGTTTTGGTGCATCATAGAAATCAGCAGAGTGTGAAAACTGTTTACCTATGGTAACATTTGCATAGCTAAGGAAGGAAAATAAGTAATGGTGACTTCAGGGTTCAGAAATGTTAAATTTTATTTTATTTTTTTAAGTTCAAAATTAATTATATGAAAATATTTAAAAATATCTTACCCATATCCAGTTCCTTTCTTTCCTGGGTTTGTGTATAAATTCTTTCCAGGTGCCTCATATTTTGCCCTGGGTTTTAACTGTGCACTGAAGAATGGGACTGGACCTCCTATTGTCCCATAGTAGCTTCCTAATCCACATCTTAGATACAGTACAAAAAAAAAGGAGCAGGTTAAAACGACAAATTTTTTGTTATATATATTTTACCACAATTTTTTTAAAAAAATGATTGAAAAAGGAGCAAAACATATGCAATGGAATTGACTTGCCTAACTTTGGTAAGGAAAAAAACAATTTTTTTGTTAGTTTTTAATCTAATTTCCCCCATTTTTCAAAGTCACAAATTTTGAGATGAGATAAGTTTTTAATTTTTTATGCTTATTTTAAATGTTCCACATAAACAAAACTTCATAATCTCTGGAAAGTTAGAATAGTTTCCATGAATTCAGTTAATTATAACAATATACTTATTGTTAACGCCCTTTACACTTTAACACTTTAACGTGTTAAAACACCCTTTTGTGTTTTTAGATGAATTTCTCAACACTTTATGGCAAGTTAGCTAATAAATGGCTGATTTCTTCTGACCACTCACTAGAAACTATACTTTCAAAACACATACGTAAAAGTATTGTTTCCACTGCTGATGGCAAAGTGAATCTCATGGAATTTTGGTGCTGATTTTCTTCTTTTTGGTTTATACTTATTTCTTTACTATAGAAAAAAAATTAACCAAATATTTTTTCTTCAATTTTAAACTTTTAAATTTTCTGGACCCACAGTATGCTTAATCATTAAACTATTTGTCATCTAGCACTTTAACAAATGCTTTCTTTACAATTTTCACAATAAAAAGGATGACTAATGTTAGTAAGAGTCATAGTCTCTACCTTCCAAGTTATCATTGACGTAAACAAGATTTAATAATCAGAAAATGGTCTACAAGACAAATGAAACCTTACTATTATCAAAACTCGACACTGTTTATACATTTGAATTAAAAATTTCAAAAACTAGAAAGACATCAACATCACTTATTATTTCTGGCTTACAAATAAAGCTTCCATTAGAAGATATTCATTTTCATTAACTGCTACTTATATGTCATAAAATTCTAAGATACAGTAAGGAAATAAAGCAATGATATAGCAGAGAAAAGGACAGTTATGCACAGGCGTAATCTAACTAGAATGTGATTTTATGCAAGCATTAAGAATCAGTACATTTAGAATTTATTAAATGAGTATGGTCCCATAATTTGGTATTGAATAAGTAGCAATATGAGGGCTTCTTATTTATACCACTAATCTCTCTTTTTGGAAATTCTTTCTGTACCTCGCAAAATTACAGATGTTTTTCACATATCTCTGAGCTTTAAAAACAAAGAAAAACTACTCTAATTATAAAACTGTTTTTATTTCTTGGCTGACAAATGAATATAAGCATATTATAAACTAAGGTATCAAGGCAGCAAGTCCCAAATATTACCACAAGAGGTCAAAATTCATTAAGAGGGGAGACTGAAAAATAGGAAAAAGTTATTTAAAGGGTAAAATACATATATTATATGAAAAAGAAATGAAGTAGTGAACCAAAAAATGCATGTTTGAATTTATATCTAAGAATAAAATGAAGAAGCCCCTAAAAAAGTAATAATAATAATAACAAATAATTCACACCTATCCAAAGTGTGAAAAGATGGAAAAAGATTAAACTATAATAACAGATAAGAAATTCCCCACTCAATAAAAATTTAGTAATTTTGAGTTAGAAGAACACAGCTTTACTAATTTCAAGAAAATACCACAAACAAGCACAAAATTAGCCTTCAACCAGTCCTCATCCATCATAAATTCTAAATTGGGAGTCAAGGTTATTGAGTGCAAATTAATATCATATTCTAAAGCTCAGCTATATAATATATAACATAGACTATATGGTTTTAATGATTTAAAGGTAAGAAAAAAAAAATGAACCTCCACATTGACAACTGTCACAACTAAAACATTGTTAAACCCCATGCAGGTATCTGTACAATGATTTCTTTTTTTTTTTTTCCCCTGAGGAAGATTTGCCCTGAGCTACCATGTGTTGCCAATCCTCCTCTTTTGGCTTGAGGAAGATTCGCCCTAAGCTAACATCCGTGCCCATCTTCCTCTGTTTTGTATGTGGGTTGCCACCACAGCACAGCCACCGACGAGTGGTGTAGCCTGAACCGGGGCCGCTGAAGCGGAGCACGCCAAACTTAACCACTAAGCCACGGGGCCAGCCCCTACAACGATTTGTAAATAACACATCGTTGATAAATTATCTTCTTTATCAAAAATAAGACCTCCTAATTTCGCATTTTTTATTTACACTTTTTAAAATTTTTTGAAAAGCAGAAAAAATAGTCAAGGGCACAAACATGATAACACAAGGCAATTTTTTCCCTAACTTTTTTGCAAGGTTTTTGAACAAATTTATTTTCATTATTTAGTTGCCTTTTATTATATAAACTGATAGAGAACAGTGACACAGATAACCAAAAATTTAATGTGATAATGAGAATCTACTTAATCAAAATTACCTCTCAACTTAAATCATTCAATATAACTGTCTCCACCTAAGACAAACTTAACCTAAAAATCATACTTTAAAAAATGAATCATACACAAGTAAGTCCTACGGAAAAACAAACACTTAATTTAGGCTGGAGGAGAGAAAGGCACAGTAGACGTATTAAAATTTCCCCCTCAACACTTACGGCTTTTTATCTCCACTACTAGGGAGGAAGGCTTTGCCTAGATTTTTTCTGGCTTCTTCCATCATATGTCGTCTCCTCACTTGATTCAGACTTACATAGCCTTCGCCTTCAAAAATCCTTGCAAAATGGGGATCAAAATAACCTGCCTGGAGATTTGACATTTCTTTGGATCCCCCAGGTAACATCTGTCTATTTTTGCTTGCAGCTTCATTAAAGGGTCCTTTAAAAACAAATTAGGAATATCATGATTTTGAGCCCACTAGTAATTAAAGAATATGAAAAATAACTTAGAAAAGTTTCAAAATGTGCTTTGGGCCAGTGAGTTTTGAACTCTAAAACACCATTTCAAAGTGTTCACTGAAAGCTCTGTGTTAAAGGCTATATTGACAATAAGATCTATGAGGTTTCCACAAAACATTTTAATAATTAGATTAAGGACTGGTTATAGACTCTGAATTTTAGAGTGGAAGAGGCCTTAAAAGTCCTATAATCCAGTGCTCCCTCATCTACATACCAGGAAACACTGTCTGTATGAGATGTCAGTAAGAGTGTGTGTGTGTGGTGTGTGTGTGTGTGTGTGTGTGTGTGTGTGTGTGTAGGTTGAAGGGAAGGGCATTCCATACTCAGACGGAAGCAATGTGTGGTGTGTGTGTGTGTGTGTGTGTGTGTGTGTGTGTAGGTTGAAGGGAAGGGCATTCCATACTCAGACGGAAGCAATTCCCCTCCTGGGTATATACTCAAGACACATGAGTGCCTATATCCACTAAAAGACATGAACAAGAATGCAAGAAGGTTCATAGCAGCTTCATTCATAATAAACAAAAACAAGAAACAGGGGCCAGCCCCCTGGCGTAGTAGTTAGGTTCAGGTGCTCCACTTCGGTGGCCCTGGTTCGCAGGTTTGGATCCCAAGCATGGACTTACACCACTTGTCAGCCATGCTGTGGTGGCGAACCACATATAAAGTGAGGAAGATTGGCACAGATGTTAGCTCAGGGCTAATCTTCCTCAAGCGAAAAAAAAAGAAAAGAAAAGGAAAGGAAAAGAAACAACTCAAATGCCCATCAACAGGAAAACAGATACATAAATTGTGGTATATTTCTACAATGAACTACCAGCAGCCCTGCAATTTTCTAAAAGGCTGTTTTTATGACTATTTAGAACTTCTTTTATAATTTGGACCAAGGAGAGCTCAATTTGAAAAGTCCTTCCATAACATGAAGAATTTTTTGAAGGTAAAAACTATCCTTAATTCAACTGTTTTTTTTTTTCTTGTGAGGAAGATTGGCCCTGAGCTAACATCTGTGCCAATCTTCCTCTGTTTTGTATGTGGGACACTGCCACAGCATGGCTTGATGTGTGGTGTGCAGGTCCGTGCCAGGATCTGAACCCTGGGCCGCCGAAGCAGTGCGTGAACTTAACCACTACACCACTGGGCCAGCCCCTTAACTGCTTATTTAAATGTGAATTTTTTAACTTAAATTTTTGAAAGGTAATATATTTACATGGTTTCAAATTCAATAGTATAAATATTTTTACAGAAAGTCTTCCTTCCACACTCGGCCACCCAGTTTCTCTCCCACAGAGAGAAATTAATATCCTACATGATATTAATTTTGTTTTCCAGAGAATGTTTAGGCATGTTCCAATGAATATTTTCATATATATCCTTTACCATTTTTAATGCTTAGCATTCTACATACACTATTCTGCACCTTTATTTTTTTAATTTAACAATGTATCTTACAGATGTTTTATATCAGTGTATTCTTTCTTATTGTTATATAGAAGTCATTGAACAGCCAAAAATTTAACTGAGACATTTAAGATGCTCATTTACTTTAGCTCTTTTTATTATTTATGACTCTTCCAAAAAGCCCTCCACTATTCATTTAGCATTTCATTTTTCAATAAAGTGATCATGGGTGGCCTCTTCGGATGCAAATGTAAATGCTGGGTCTCATTTAAGAAAAAAAAAAATCTAAAAACAAAATATTCTGGTAGAAAACTGCCATGCACCTTTGGAAAGAAGTAAAATTACCTATGAGGAAACTATATGAAGGTAGGGTAGCTCAATAAAATGAGCTTCCTGCTCTTATCAAATTAAGTCTTCTCTTAACTCTATTGAAATTTCACAAGTTTATTCAACTTTAGAACTAATGCTCTAAAATATGGACCACTGAAGAATATCATTTAAGTCAAATATTAAATCCAAAATGTCATATAGAAAATACCCCTCACACACACTATTAGGCTGTAAAGAAAACCAAATATACTCACGATTAAATGATGACACATATCTATCACCAACAGTAACATATCCCATCTCACTGAAGAGGCCAATCCTCTCCATATCCGTTTTCCCTCCTTCTACAGGCATGGCTGCTACTTGTGGTGGTGTTCTCTATAGTGGCAACTTCAAAAGGTTGCTTAGGGCTGCTGCTTTTATAGCAAGATCCTACTTTACATTGAAAAATACAGGGGGAAAGTTTAGGGGGAAAAAAGTGATTACTAAACTTCAGTCCAAATCACTTTCAGTCTGAGAGTTAACATTCACTATAAAACAATAGTCTCAAACCATGTGGGGAAAGAATCTACTCTGTGGAGCTGGAGGAGAATAATGGGATTTAAAATTATCACTGTGACCCCTCCCCTTGACTGTCCAGGTGAATTATTCATAAATTACAAATAAATGTCTATGATAGCCTCTGCTGCATTGCCATTCACCTGCTATAAATGATAAAATTATTACTGTAGAGTGCAGTATAAATACGGTGTAAACAACATCCTTCTTTAGAGAAGTTCAAGGTAGATTTAAAAATCATAATTACATAAGGCAGACATTTTCAGCTTTGAGCAAATGATTTAAGCATACTGCACTGTCCCTCATACTGAAAATTACAACTCAGCTTTTCAGAATGCACAACACATATAGGTATGAGACTATAGTTCCTGAGTTTTTTCAAGCTTAAATGAATACAAGAAATGTGCCATTGGCAAAATTAGTTCACAAAGGAGGTGGGGGGAGAGGACAACTGTCTAGGCGAGATAAAAACAAGAAGAAAACAAACACAAACCCACAATGAATTCAGAGTATTTGTCAAAGGAGAGACTGCAAGTGTGTTTTCTTTTGAAATGTCACATTAAACATGCAACTATTTAGACTTTTTTTTTTAATTAGACATGTTCTAAAGAGGAGGACCAAAGAGCTAAAAACACTTGTCTCCATTTCATCATCATATTTTTTAGCACCAACTAGACCTAGGCACCAGGTGTACACTAGTGAAAAAAACAAATATTGGCTTGTGCCTCCCAGTTTGTAATCCAAGGTAAGAACCTTTTGCCTTGACTTTCGAGCAAGCTGTTGCAATATCACTAAACACGCTTGCCTCTTTGGACCTGTGGCTCATCAGAGCGTGAATCATTGCTAATGTGTACTATCAAAGGGGCAAGCGAAGATTCCGTTTAAACTAAAGCATAAGAAAAGACAACCCATTTCCCCATCCTCCCTCTTCCTCTGATCAAGGTATGCTTTAAAACTAGATGTCAGTCAGTTGGGCTGGACTACTTAGATTTATCTCATATTTCAAAGCTCCATTTCTACTACCCAAACACAAAGGCTTCCTGTGCTGCCACAGGGACTCAAATCCTTTAAATGGCTCACAAGGTCCGCTATCACCCTAATCTGTCGCCATGGGGACCACCCCTCCCTGGCACCTGGGCACTGTTTGTCCTCTTCCAGTTCTCAGGTCGGGCTCTCTCCTGCCACAGGACCATGGCACATGCTGTTTCAATTTAGGCTGGTACTTCACTGTGCCGACCCCTTTAGTTCCCCTAATTAACACCCATCCTTCATCAGTTTAGTTATATCATCGTGCATGTACTTCTCTTTCCAAGCCCTCATCATGGTTATCGAATGGGTTATCATTTTACATTCACCGTGTAGGGATCCTTTAATTAATAGCTGTTTCCTCTCCTCAACTGTCGGCTCCGGGGATGCAGGAACCGTGGTATGAGACAGTATTCCCAGTGTGTGAGCAGCGTCTGGCACACAACAAAGCGAGCCACAGAGGGAAGGAAAGGAAAAGGAAAGAAGTTCTTGCTTTGAATTTTTCCACTACTTAACTCTTCTTGAGCAACAATTGCAAAATCACTCATTCACGTATTTCGTGGATACTAATACCTGGCTCGCTGGTAGAAGCTAGGAAAACTGAGACGTTAAAAGGCACACATCCTGCCCCCAGAGAGCTTACAATCTAGTAGACAAGAACAGAATTAAGCACAAGTGGAAGATGGCAAGTTCCCTTGAAAGGCATGGATAAAGGGCCGTGGAGGGTGATGTAGGGGCACAAAACTTCCTGTTGAGGTGATGGGGAAAAGGATTCCCCATTAGGGAACGGAGGCTCGGAGTAGGTAGGTATCTAATGGGCAACACCTGGCGGCCGCGAGGACCAAGTCACCTCTCAGACGGGCACCCAGCCCTACACCGAGATCAGACCGTCCCAGCTCCAGTCCAGGTGAACTCAGCTGCAGAGCGATGGGGGCCACGAGCCACCCTCCCACCAGCGCATCCCGCGCGCGGCCCCGCCACCAAGAGCCTCCGGACGCTCTGCGCACGGGTGGTGTTTATTGTGGCGCGTCGCCGCGGCTACGGGAGAATCCATTCCAAGTACGCTACCAGAGGATTCGTGGAGAGTTCCAATTCGCATCGAGGAACACATAAAAGGACTTTTGAGTGTCCGTAGGATACGAGTGACTCAACCGATAGAATTTACCGACAGTCTTCCGCTTCTCGCCCCGTGATCCATCCCCGAGGAAGTGTAGCGTGGTACGCCCCATGGCGTATGCTGCGGGGCATGTTGGGAGTTGTAGTCGGCCTTCCAAGGCCACGCCCCTCGATGACGCCACTTCCGGGCCAGCCGTCTGAGCCAGTGAGCGGACGTCAGCGTCCCTGTCATCGCCACGTCGCAGGCATGGTGAGTATCTCTGCTCGCCACCGACCGCTGCGTTTTCCCCCGGACTTCGGTAGCTGACCCGACTAGCATTTGAAAGGAACTGGTCCTGCGGGGCCCACGGCGGCAGCTGTCACTCCGAGGTCTGGGCCGCCTTCTCCTCGGCCTCTTCCCGAGGCCCCGCACGACCTGAACCCCCCAGCTCTGCCGCGTTTGGACATCTGCTCCAGGCGCCTCCTCCTTGTGAATGCATTTTGAGAACCAGACATTATTCGGTGTTTTTGAAGGTTTTGAAGAAGGATTGGACCTGGGAAAGAAATAAGTAACTTTCTTCAAATACTGTATTCCCTTGGCCCCCGTGAGGTCACCCTGCCCTGGTTTCCCTCCTGTCCCATTGCTCAGCCAGGTCCTCCAGTCTCCATCCTAGATGGGTTGTTCTTCAGGGATACTTTTCTTTACACCCTGTGCTTTCTCCTCAATTTCTATCTCCAGCTTAGACCTTTATTCTGAGCTCCAGATCCACGTATCTAACTGTACCTCCACTTGGATAGCTCAAATGTACTTCAAACTCAGCAGGTTCAAAACTGCCTCGTCATTTCCGCCTCCTCTCATCCCACACCCACTCTTCCTCCAGTGATCCCCATCTGAGTAAATGGAACCACTCTCCACCCGGTTGTGCATGCCAAAAATCAGGAAGTCATCCTTGACATCTCCCTCTTCTCTACTTCTAAACACCTGATCAGTAATCAGGTCTTTCGGATTCTACTTCTAAGTGGCTGTCACTTGTCACTCTCTCTACTCTTACCATCCCTGTCCTTGCCACCATCAGATCTAACCATCTGTGCGTCTCTTAAAGGATCCTTTAGGCAGGCTTCACCAATCTGTGCCCCTGCCTGGCCGGGCTTTTCCATCTCCACCCCCATCTTTCTTCTGGAATTGTTCATACTCTTACCTACTTACCCTTCAGATCTCAGCTTAAATATTATTTCTTCAGAGAGGATCTCAATTCAGAACTCTAGGGAGAGTCTAGTGCTTTCATATATGATCTTTTATGGATTCTTCACAACAACACTTTCAAGTTGTATATTTTTCCAGCTTTACAGAAGAGTACAAAAGATTAGTTAAATTGTGC